GGGGGTGCGGGGATTATTAATAAACTGACATCTGCGAATGAGGGTCCTTCTGGCACTGAGGAACCCACGTAGATCAGTCCATAAACCTATCGGTTAACCCCCTCTTCATACTTCCTTTATTCCTCTCCTTTGACCTTCTTCCCAAGCTATTTCTGCCGACGGTATGTGGCCGCCGTCGCGTGTCTCATCGTGTATATTGAAACGAAATAAACACGTATTTTGATCTACCTGCTTTCAGAAGCCAAACTTGAGGGGTTAACAATTTAAACTACTTTCTCCTACGCCTCCACTAAGGGAGACTCCCCAGTCTGCTTGTCTGAATCCAGTATTGAATGACTCCGAGTGAACACCGCCATGGGGTTGTGGTGGTAGGGTACGACACTCCGGCTGGCAACCCTCTAAAGGAAGTTAGCAGATTTGCTAAGGCAAACGTGTGTTCTTTGTCTAGTGGATGAGACCTGTGAAACTTAAGCTTACCTAACGATTTTAAGCAATTATTCTATAAATTATCTCCCAAGTTTACCCTGGTTTTCAGTTACTTCGGTGTGATGAACCTCACGATGTTGTTCAATTGCGTCTAAACTGATGCGCGGCTAATGTGACGCTTTATGTTCTTCTCATTAAAAATCTAAAAAGCAATATTGACCTCCACTATTCGAACTTGTGCCATCTAAATTTCATGATGGTTATGCAGGGAGATGACTCTAATCACGCGCTTTAAATGTCGATGGGATGTCAAATGGCCTTCTGTCTTTTGATTATTCGGGTTTACTTCACTTAAAATCATCGGTCACTTTGTATCAGCTGCTAATTTACAAGTTAGTATGTCTTATTAATGCAGACCACTTTCCATTCTTATTTGCTAATGGGAATTCCTATTCCTAATGCCTCTAATGAGACTTTGTGAGTTTCAATGGCATCAAAAGAAAGAATTTTAGCTACCATCAGCCTTGCACTCTGGAAAATGGCTTGATCGAGGAAAAAGAGATGACCATCTCGGTTTGCTTAAAAGCTTTTTCCTTCACCCCCTTTCTAAAAAAGTAATCTGTTCTGTTCAACACAAAAGCTCAGGTCAGCCTTTAGCAAAAGGACAGTCTCTAGAAGAACCGAAATTTAACAATTATTTACAAAAAGAATTTAGCAATTGCAAAAATCCTGTAGACTGTAATAAATTTGCTCAAAAATGAATTACTTGAAGACGATAAGCACCCCTTTTTCCTAATGACCATTTGTGATTAGTCCAAAGCGCCCTGCGGGAGCAAAAATTAATTTTTCATCGATCCTGTCCATAATTGGCTTCTCTTGAACCAATGGGGCGCGAGTGGTGGCTTCTGAGTGCTGTTCACAGTGCTCTTCCCTTTAATTAGCATCGATTTGTGCGCTTGGGCTTGAGGCATCCACCCTTTTTTCAAATGGTATGAGGAAAGATCTCATTTAGCCCACATTTTAGATACTTACTGGCCACTGGTGGTGGAATATCATAATTTCACCCCATTTTTTTGGGGAAGTGTCCATCCATGGGAACAAAAGGAATGTCTTCGAAGGTGGCAAGGTAAGTTTTGGGTGATGTAAATGCCCTTTTTGGCTCAAAAGGCATAATCAGTTATCTGGGTTATCACTTGAATTGCAACTCAAGGTACTAATGTTCCTCTCCACCCTTGCATGCATTAAAGTGAAAGCAATAAAGCAACGTTTATGAGAGATCCTTATGGGATTATTTTGCGATCCAACAATTTCGTCAAAATGTGTTGACTAATGTGTGATTGTTGCTTCCGTAGCAAGATGTCAATCCAGAAAGCATATTCCCACTTTTAAATGGATATTATGAAACGAATGAATTTCACGAAAATTTGAAGGAGTGCTTTTGTACCAGAAAATCCAAAGGCGTTTTTACAAAATAACTCATGTCAGTATGAATTTGGTTGGTTGCTAGATTATTTGCTTTACGACTATTGTCTTTTATATATATGTATACGTATGTACTTGATAGATAAATCCTCGATGGCTTGAAATGGGCTTGTGAGGTAAAGAGACCAGGCAGCCTGATGGATACCATTACACGAGTCGAACGAGCAAAAATCACCATTTAAGAGGCCAATCTATGGCATAGATGAGGTTAAGTATGCCTGATTAAGAACGTAGAGGAGAAAGACAATCGCCTATGGTTATTTCGTCTTCATCCCTAGTGGTCACAACTGCAATCGGCTAGGGGCTCAGGAGCGCTTTGCGTCCGCTGGTGTGATGGATGGCTAGTAAGGCATACTTTTTTGACTGTTACATCCACATGCAAGAGGGAGAGAGGGTTTTGTCCTCCTTACTAAGAACCCACTCCGACGGAGGTTAATTTGGGCTCCTGGCGCATACACCAGGGTACCCAGTGCATAACGGAATGCGATTCCTCTCCCCACGGTGCAGCTTTCTTTACTCCAGACAGTCAGCTATTCTTCTAAGGCAATTGGCTTTCCAAACTGAAGCATTTAAATGACACAAAGAGAAAATTTCGAATTCTACACCTCCTTCCGTTTTCAATCAAGCATTTATCCGCTTAAATATACATGCATGTTTTGTACGATACCTTAGAAGTGGTAAGTTAAAACGACTTCCACTTGTCAAGCGTTGACTTACATTCATGTAATTTTCTATGCTAGTATGTTTATTACCAGTTGTGTGGATGTCTGGCTTACTAGAGAACAGGAAACCTTGTCTATCACTATCATTAACAGCCATTCATCTCTCTCCACCTGCAACCTAGGTACTGGTGAGGGAACATATTATGCCTTTATGTATGTATTATCACGATTACACTCCTTGCGGTGGTTAACATGAGGAATTAATTCCTTACCCTTTTGAGGATTAAGTAACTTAGTCCCCTGCTCCATACACATTAATCATGGGCAGAGGCTAAACCATGATTGTATTATCCAAACATAAGTCATAAGTTATGTAAATGGATGTGTGTATGACTGCATATTCCAGTGCCTTTTTATTACCCATTTAGAGACAGCTTCCTTTGAGCTATTTCATGAACGGTATAATTACCGCAGATCTGTACAACCATCAAATGGGTGGGTCTCTAAATCTCTGCATTTTTGTTCTTTTCCCTTAAAAACCGAACTACATTGCGAATCACCACTGTTCACTGGAGCGAATGACACCCAAGCAGAAAGAGGTAAATGCATTTCATACCTCGTTTATAAGATGCCTTAACTGCTTATGAAGGTGGTTTTACCAAAAAAAGAACTTTTTTCATCTTTGATGGCATGGCATTCCACCTGCTGCAGTGAGTTTGAAATTGTCCACATCATACTCATTTACCAGAATTAAAAAAGTCTCCCGAACCCTGCCAAATATTTTCCCTGTGGTAAGAAAAGCAAATGGAAGAGGAAGACCTTGTCAGAACAGTAGTGGAGCATTTCTTCAGATCAATTAGACGATTCTTGTCATGTCATCATGATTTTTGCACCCCGTGACCTTGAGGTCAATGTGACAATCTACGTCGAAACATTGGAGACGACTGTCAAGCCTTAGGTCGATAAAGCCATTCCCAGCAGACTTTCAGGCTTCAGCTTGACCTTTCCCTTTCCTCATCCAGCATGTCTGATTCAAGGGCTATTAATCTAACGTCTTGGCTCCCAGTTTAAACACTTCGTACTACCATCTCAAGGGCCACAAACAGGCATGATCACGACAGCAAAAACGTGTTAACTCCTCGTACTTTAAATTATCGTAACCGACATGAATGAAGACAGTCTAAGAGGGAGATGAAGCCATTTTGGAGGCTCCACTTAGAGCCATGTTGGTTCTGCTTATAAGTACCCTTTTCATAATTTTTTACACACCTTGAAAGCCGATGAGACAAGACCAGTCGATCTGTACCCGTAGCTACTAAATTTTTCACTGAATCAGTATCCCTATCTCCATTGAAGAAAAATTATCAAAATGTGACCTTCAGCAGGCCTTGATTTTGGGACACTTTCTTTCATGACAGAAATGAGAAAGATAAGTCGTCCTCGTAAACTACTGCATGAAATTCTTCCCCTGTGACAAGCGCCTATCTACTACACAGTTCTTGGGCTGCAGCAATTGCTATTTACTATCTTAGACTAAAAAATTTCATTCGGTACACCCATTGACACTTGATCTGAGAGGCCTCTACAAACTTAAAACCGCCGCCTACCTTTTGTTTCGATTCTGCACAAAAGTTATGCACTGAAATAACATCATTACAATTCATCAGCTAAGCAAAAGTTATTCTTTCAGAATGACTTAAATAATCCGGAAATTTCGGGACAATTGTTGCTTATAAAGCAGGAAATTTGTTTTTAATATTGAGCCTCGTAGCTTGTTTTTTTGGTGCTAAAGTGGGTTGCATCATGTGGGGTCTGGTTAACACTTAAACATCACATGCAAAAAAACACACAAGCACTGCAGCAGTCGTACCATTTTTACAAAAAAATGAATAAATATAAGCTGAGAGATTGTAAATCCTTTAAAACCTTGAGGGGTTCTACCCCTCCAAGAATGGATTGCAGATTCTATTCCTCCCTAGTACATGTTACAGTATGTTGCAGTAATGAGAGGTGCTCCGCCTCTTAGGCAGGGTTTTAACATAAACCCTTGGGCACGTCTTGAAGTTCCCCACTGTAGAGGATAATAACTCTTTCATTGAATATCCAGAGGCTTATCTCTTGACTATCTGCTATGCTAGTCTATCTCCTCCTTCAAGGCAGTGTGCCAAGAGTGTCAACAATGGGGATCCAAGGGAGCAATTTTGAGGCTCCCTATCAGTGGTTGATTAGACGTCCACACTTCAGAATTTACCATTTTCATCATTTGGACCATTGAGAGATCTAGCGATCCAGATCATCTTTTCGCAGTGAAGCTTTGCCTTTGCCACGCCAAAAGTGGTTTTCTCGGACTTCCATATCACCCATAGAGGAATCTCTGGGACGCATTTTTGCCTGTGCAGAGAATGCATGCCAAAGGAGATAAACTTGTGCATTCAGCATACCTTCCACCCTACTTCCTTGCATATTAAGGAACACTGCTCTTTTTTTGGCTGTGCATTCTAAACTTCTCCAAACAGTCATTCGGGAACTCCTTAGGTGATAATAGAATATTCCTCAAGAATTACTGACAAGAGCCATCCCTCCATCTAACCTGCAATAAAAATCGAGACTGCTAAGCAACCGAGGTAGACTCATTTAGGTGCGACTAGAAATGCAGCCGCATTCAATTCAACTGCTGCCTTGGCTTGGAAGTCTACATTTTACCCTATTCACTTCG